GGCTGAATCTGGACGCCAGTTCCGACTTACATACAGATTCAACTTAAGAACAAACCTACAGTCCCTATCTTGTATGTAACCAGGGGACTGCCTGTAAATGTATACAAGACGGTTTCAATAATTTGGGGATATCCCTAGGGATGTTAGCGACTAGTGAACTAGTTGACTATCTGATAAGCAAATGCTTATCGGACAGTCGAGTAGCAATTTGACCACTCACTTCCCTCCACCCTTACTGCCTCTATTGGGGACGGGGAGCAGGAGCTGGAGCCGGTCCTGGAGGGAACCAGCTTTAAGCCATGAACAGAGGCTGTGGACTCAACGTGAGCCAAGACTGAGCAGTCCCAGCTAGCACTGATCACTGCACCTCTGCATTTTAAATGTAGTAAGAGCCCAGCAGCTCTTACTACATTTAAAAGGCAAAGCCACAGTGAAGGTGGCTCCAGAGCCTGAATGAACCAGGACTGCTCATTCCCAGCTAGAGTCAGCTCCTGGAGCTACCCCCACTGCGGCTCTGAACTGCATCGCTTATCAGCTTAATCCTTCCTCAGTCATAGCCAGCCCTATCTACTCACCCACCTTTCACTTTTGCCCCTCAGATAAACACCCCCTTCTCTCACACACACATTTACTTACCCCTTTATCCTGCCACACTACACATACACAATCATACACAAACTTCTGCCTACATCTTTACCCAGACCCTCTCTCAACACCTTTACTCGCCCTTTAGCACTGTCTCTGTCATACCTGCTCTCCTCTCAACTCTGCTCCCCACCCCCACATACACATATCTGTTAACACTGCCCCTCTTATTCACTCTGACACACAATCAGGCCAGCTTCCCTTGCTGCCCACTACATATTAAAAATATAGCAGGAGCAGGCTCTGGTCTGGAGCTGGGCCTTGCTCTTGAGGGGAGAGGAGGGGCGTGGAAATTAGCCCCAGCCTTCCACTAGCCCACCAGAGCATGGGGAAGGGCATCTCGGGCAATGCACCACCACTCCTGCCTTCCCCTGGCCAGCTGGAGCACACTTACTTGGGGGATTGTGAGGGGGGTGCATTTGCACCCTTGCGGTTCACATTTACAAACCACTCCCCTCCCCCCCCAGAAATTCCTGTGCACGGGCCTGGCCATAGTGTACTTTACTCAAAGAAAAGCATTTTTTGCTTCCTACTTAAACAACAGACTATTCCAGTTTTCCCTTTGAATTTGGTTAATGTTTAAAGTGGCTGCCATTAAAATCAAGAGTTACCACACAGACGCCACAGTTATTTCCTATCTTATGAATAGCTGGCAAATGGTCACTTATTTTTAATGATGGCCATGTGATAGGCATCAGATAAAATATATTTAAATGGATATTATTAATTTCAGAATAATATTTATAATTGTTATCCTTAGATAATTGATTATTAGACTTAGAAACCTCCAAGTACAACTTGCCTTCAAATGGGCTTGTAATTCTCCATTTGTACCTGTTTTTACCTGCTTATTCTTGTAAAGGTGAAGACTGCTGACACAGCCTGGTACCTCTTGATCATGTGCCCCAGAATGGGCCATCATCAAGCTCCTGAGTTCCTATGATAATAAGGTAAGATAATAAGTAAGATAAGGTAGCAGAATCCAGCTCTTCTGATTAGAGAGAATTGAATGTGTGTAAATACCATATTGGATTGTTTCATGATATCACTGTAAAATCTTTGTAAAGAATTTCCTGCATGTTTTTTTAAATTTATTTCTATTTCACCACACTGTCCAACCCCCATAGCAATCACCATGCTCCTTAAAAAAAAAAAAAAAAAGGCTTCCAGCAGAAGCTTGCCCGAGTGTGTGTGAAAGTAAATAAGAGGGGCAGTGTTAACAGATATGTGTCTTCTTGCTTCACATAATCCACCCACATTTCCCTGAAAAGATGCCAAGAATACACCATGTCTATAGGGCATGGCCAGTACTTCTGTGACACACAGGATGCTTTGCGTGAGAACAGAGGCCTGACATGTGGGAAAGTAGGCTGTTATAAGATTTTAGGAAACAGGGAGCAGCCATGCTTGCTTATGTCAATCTCAAACATCTCTTTATTCTCTGACATGCATCTGACAAAGTGGGTCTTTGCCCACGAAAGCTTATGCTCCGACACTTCGGTTAGTCTAAAAGGTGCCACAGGACTCCTCGCTGCTTTTGCAGATTCAGACTAACACGGCTACCCCTCTGATACTTTATTCTCCGTGACTTTTCCAGGAGTTGCTCCTCTTGTGACCCTTCTGGAGGAATAGCAGTCCAGCTTGGTGTCTTCAGAAATGGTGTTTCAGTGCTATAGGCTTCTTGTGCTATGCATTCCTAGGCTAACATTTGCAAGCGTCTTCCGAACACTAGCCTGACATGTTTACTTGCCAACTAAAGCGCATTTAGGAGCAAAGCTAAAGTAAACATAGGGGCTACATTTAGACTGGCATGATTTTCCGGAAATACTTTTAACGGAAAAGTTTTTCTGTTAAAAGTATTTCCGCAAAAGCGTGTCTAGATTGGTCCCAGAGTTATCGTTATAACGATGCGCTTTTGCACAAAAGCACGTCTACATTGGCGGGACACTTTTGCGCAAAAGCAGAAGCCCGGAACCATTTTGCAGAGGGCAAAAGGGCACCAGCCCTTTCCGGGGGTGGAGGCTGGAGCTCCTTTGAGACACGTGCTTAAAGGGATCTCCCTGGACAGCCGTTTCTCTCCTGCTGCGTGCTTTGGGACCTCTTGCAGGGACTGTCAGCCGTAGCAGTTTTGGTGGTTGCTCTCTGCTTTTTTTGGTCACCACTACCTTTTGCTACTTAGTGCCTTTGCTTGTTTTTTTTCATCTCCCTTGTGTTTTCTGACATGGAGCTGATAAAACTGAGCTGATAATATTTATTTAAAAATATCTGTCCAAACTTTGAAGCAGATTTAAAAATAAACCCCTTTTTTAGATTCATTTTTTCATAACTTTGTTTACATTTTCTAATTTTTTCAGCATGATTTGTGTTCCAAATAGCTTGCTCTCTTTTATCCCATCTTCTCAGATGTAAGACTTCTTTGAAATCATAATGTTAAATTTGCAATATCACACATTTCTATAGCTGCAGTCTGCCTTGTAAAACACCACTTATATGGCTCTTCTGTGCAATATTAAGAATAAGAGACTGATAGAGGCTGCTCACTAAAATGTAAATATCTAAAATAAAAACTGAGGGAAGAATGATGTACCATAATTTGTCCTGATTGTTGCAAACACTGGCAATATTATTGCAAGTGTTGTAATATCTGGTGTTTTTCATGGCCCCAATTCCTGGGACCCTTTGGTTTCACGAGAAGCTCACTTTCATTACAGTATTTTTTTTCTAGCCTCATGGTTGCAGAGAAAAGCTTGCAAATGTGACCCAAGTATACTGTAAAGGCTGAATAACAAAAGACACAAAGAACCTCAATTGTGTTTTTAAAAATCATAGACGGGACATATGGAAATACTGTTTCCTACAAATGTTCTCTTGTCAAATTTACTCCAGTGTGGAAAACATCTCTCTCATTTCCACATGCACATATTTCCTTTCCTTGTAAAATGAAAAATAGGTAATAATAGCCTCACCAGTTGTACAAAACTCATTTTTTTTAATAGGCAAACTGGTTGTTATATAAGATGCCAAGGCAAGACCAGATAGGCTGACAAAGTAAGTGCCAGAAAACAGAGAAAATGGGGCATGCTAAATTCTGGTATAATCCATAAAGATAAGCTGACAAAGTAAGTGCCAGAAAACACAGAGAAAATGGGGCATGCTAAATTCTGGTATAATCCATAGAGGATAATATCCATACCCAGAATTTATTGGCAACTATCCAAACATACTTTATTAAAGCAACTATTACACTGTTAACTGATCAAATCTGATCATATTTAGTGTCAAATAGTTTTAGCTGGTTAGAAAAGATTGTAGAGCAGCCAAATAGTATGGATGAAGAAAAATCTGTAGCATACAGATGTTTCAGTCCTTTCGGTTCAAGTGAATAAGGTAAAAGCTTTGACCTGAAAGGGAAGGCCAACTAAGGTAAGCCTGGAAAAACAACAAGGAATCCTGTGGCACCTTAAAGACAAACTGATTTAGTTGAGCATAAGCTTTTGTGGATCAAAATTGCACTTCATTAGATGCAATCTGATGCAAATCTCCTCTGGTCTTGACAAGCTTACTTTGTTTGCTAAGGTGAATCCCTTCTAGTTCATTTCTGGCTACAGATGGGGTTCCTTCCCTCCTGTGACTACAAATGAGACAGCAACGGCTAAGTTAGTAATTTTCCAAAGGAAATTATATTTCATAGCAAATTTATGCTGTCCCCAATTTTTTCCTACATTAGGTCAGTGACTAGATGAACAGACGCCTTAATTGGCCTATATTTGTACAATGTGATCATTTGTGAAGGCCTTAATTGGCCTGTATTTGTACAATGTGATCATTTGTGAAGCAATAAAACAACAAAGTTAAAATACAGTCTAAACCACCCATTATCAACCAGCAGGCCATGAGTGGGTTTCAGGAAGTCTGCCAAAATAAATGGGGCTTCAGCAGCCAGAAATGATGGGTCTCAGGCTTCAGGCCTAACTAAAGGGATGTGGGTTCAGGCCTTAGCCCTGGATAATGGGACGCAGGGAAACAGCACCACTTCCACCTTCTAATTCACCTCAGCACCACACCCAGCCACTGGATTAGCAACAAGTTTCACAATGTGGATAAATAAAATAATATTCAGGGTTTTTTTATTTTTGTACCTTTTATTATTCTTTCTTATATTATATTATATTATATTGTGTTTTGTGTGTGTGTGTGTGTGTGTGTGTTTAACTCTTTAACTACAATCTAATACAGCAATGCAGAAAAACAGTTATGGCACAAGAAGGCTGTGGAGTTTTTTTTATAGCATGTTGGGGAGGGGGTCAGAAAGAAAAAAAATTGAGAACCCCTACTCTAAACAGTGAAAATTAAACACATTTCTTGGTTCAGGAGTATTTCTGTTTGTGTTGTGCTAACGATTGCAATACTCCCTTCAGACAGAGTGAGAATATAGCCTCACACCTAGGCAGTGTAGAAACAGAGAGTTGAAGACAGTCCCTGCCCTAAAAAGCTTACAGACTAAATAGAAAAGACAGACAAAGGATGGGAAAGAGACAGAATATACAAGCTCAAGCAGGTGCTTTGCAAACATCAGACTGGTGTCACAATTCGTGGGACCCAGCAGCTGTGGGGGGATAAATTAGAAGAGGATGTGCTTAATGAAAAGGCCCAGCAGGTGTGGGGGGTTAATTAGAAGAGGATGTGCTTAATGAAAAGACAAAGGGAGAGAGGACTTTGAAGAGAGAAGGACGAAGAAAACAAGCCAGGTGAGAACACAGAGCAAAGAGAGGAAGGGAAGATGGAGAGAGGCTGGAGTGACTGAGATACTATCAATATTATAGAGCTAAAGATGTGAGAGAATTGAGAAACCCAGGCTTAGAGATCCTCCACCCCAAAGAGCACTTTGCCCACACAGCACCTCAAGGCCCTGTCCTCAGCTCCACTAATGCTCTGTCCCAAGGTCCCACTCCCACTCTGCTTTTTCTTCCTGAGGCCCCACCCATGGTTTGCACAGGAGGAGGGAGTGGAGAAAGGCAAGCAGTGGGTGGGCAGTGAGGGGTGAGAGTGGAGAGGAGCAAACAGAGCCTGGGGGAAAGGGGCAAAAGGGTGTGGAGAGTAGCAAGTGATTGGCAGGGCCTCAGGGGGAAGAGGTGAAGTGGGGGCAGGGACTCAGAGAGGAACGCAGGTGGAGCAGGGAGATGGGACCATGAGCTAGGGCCCCTTCTGAGAGTGGGGCTGGCACCATTGTAAACCTGGCACTTTGGAGCCCACCTCTGAAATCCTAGGAGAGGGCTGGGTCTCAGAGTCCAGCTATTTTATCCCCTCAGCCTAAGGCCTGAGAGCCCGAGTCAATTGAGGATACGTCTACACTACAGAGTTTTGTCGGAGTTATGTCCACACTGCAATCGCATTCTTCTGAAAGAAAATTGAAAGAACAGATGGGATTTCTGGCACTGGTAATCCTCTTTCTACGAGGAAGAAGCCTTTTTCCAAAAGAGCTCTTTCAGAAAAAGGTGTGTGAGGATGGAGAAGAGGGAGTTCTTTCTAAAGAGGAAAAAGGACAGGTGCCCTGGTGGCCACTCCGTCCATAGTAAACACAGCTTACATGAGAGATAGCATCCATTCAGTGTGGATGCTATCTTTCAAAAAAGCAGATCTCTTTTTCGATATGCTTTTATTTGTAGATGCTTTCTTTCAGAAGAAGTTTTTTCGGAAGATCTCTTCCGAAAAAAGGTTCTTCCAAAAGAAGCCTTCAGTCTAGACATAGCCTGAGCTGAGTTCTGAGATTCTATACCATAGGGTTTTTACTGCAGTGTTGATGTACCCCGAACTTGATGTGTTCAAAATCAGATAGATTAGCCTGACCAAATAAGAATTTCCTATGGATAATTTCTCACAGGCTCACGCCCTTTTTTGTGTCTGATCCGTAATGAAACTGCGACAGTACTATGCAAAACTAAAAGGGAGAGCCATGGTGTGTCCGATCCGTAATGAAACTGTGACAGTACTATGCAAAACTAAAAGGGAGAGCCATGAAACTTAACATTTAAATAAACAAAACAGCTCAGACAAACAAAGCCCTGGAGGAATTGGCTCTATGAAAAACTGGCTCTATTTAGTAGGGGTGTGACAGCACTTGTTACTTATGGTGGTTTAGCCTTCGTATGCTTTGAGGAAGAAATGAGTGTTACTCTACAGTGGTAGGAGGTTCTTTGTTTTTCTGAGCTCTGCTATTCATCATTGTGCATGGCACTTTCAGGTATGTACATTGGTTCCACTGAAGATCATCAAGAGGATTATCTCTGAGCATTTAATGCTGGCATTGATCTAAGGTTATATAAATATAAAGGTGTGGATTGTGTGCTATTGGTACTGTCCTACCCAGAAGACATTGTACGTCAAGGGCACAATATTTTCCAAAGCTCCCCAGCATGTCAGAGGGAGTGTGATTACAAAGGAACACCAGAAAAAGGTGTAAGTACTCCTTTTGATGCCCAGCCATCTTTCCAGACAAGTTCAGAAGAGGTAAAGGGGTCATGTTTCTGCTTTTTCCATACTCTGTTTTAGGGTAGCTTGGCTAGCACCACCAGTGCCACATTATCTTTGCACATAAGTGAACACAAAGACTACAATTGTGCTTGAATGTTACAGAGGTGCAGGAACGGTATAAGTGGCAGGGGAGTCTTCTTGCATTCCTAATGTGACTGAGCTGATATAGAAAGCAACCTGGCCCATTATCACTCTTGCCAATTCTCATTGGGTTTTTTTCATGAGTGATGGGTCTGGAGCTCCTTTAATGATGATAGGAGAAGCTCCACCCTGTTGTGAAGTTTGATCCTGCAAAAGTTGTCAGGGTCTCTCTCCCTAACTCACTGTTCTCACATGAGGAGGGCAGAGAGAAGGGAACCAAAAAAACCTCTACAGCTCAGGCCTTGTCTCCACTTACTGGGAGATCAATGCTGTGGAGACTGATCTGCTGGTTTGATTTAGCGGGTTTAATAAGGACCCAGTAAATCAACCACTAATGGCACCCCCATCGACTCCAGTACTCCACCAAGTCATGAGGAGTAAGGGAAATCAACAGGAGTTTCTCCCATCAACCTTCTGCAGTGGGGATGCCACAGAAATTAGAACTAAGTTATGTTGATTCTAGCTACACTAGTCACGTAGCTGGAATTGCATATTTTAGTTCGATTTTGTCCCTCAGTGTAGATCTGTTTGCCACATTATTATTCCCTTGAGAAATGCAGACATGATAATCCCTCTGCTCCTCCCCACTCCCTCCCTTCAGCGCTCGGCTTGGGAAGGGGAGAGGGACACGCAAAGCCTTTAGAACTGCCCTCTCTATCTGGGAAGGGAGACAATGGAATTGGCTGCAGCATACCCCTCTATGGCAAAAGTGAAGCTAGGGAGTCTCAACTCTCTCCCCTTCCCAGGGAGTAGGGGCAGCACTGAACTAAATATGGGATGGGGGAACAACACTAATGATTGGACAGGGGATATGCAGCAATGGGAGTGAGAGCTGCTGAATCAGGAGCTAAAGTATCCTTCTCTGGTCAATTTGGAAGAGTTGACATTTGGCAAAACTAATTCTCTCTCATACACACAGGCTGCGTCTAGACTGGCATGATTTTGCGGAAATACTTTTAACGGAAAAGTTTTTCCATTAAAAGTATTTCCACAAAAGCATGTCTAGATTGGCACGGATGCTTTTACACAAAAAGTGCTTTTGCACAAAAGCATCCGTTGCCAATCTAGATGTGATTTTGCGCAAGAAAACCCCGATCGTTGGGGCTTTTTTGCGCAAAACAGTTCTTTCCTGTCTACACTGGCCCTCTTGCGCAAGTATTCCTGCACAAGAGGGCTTTTTCCTGAGCAGGAGTGTGAAAGTCTTTGCGCAAGAAGCACTGATTTTGTACATTACAAAGTCAGCGCTCTTGCACAAATTCAAGCGGCCAGTGTAGACAGCTGGCAAGTTTTTGTGCAAAAGCAGTTGCTTTTGCACAAAATCTTGCCAGTCTAGATGTACCCACATTGTGGGTAGGCAGAGGGAGTTCAAATGTGATGAAAAGACAAACCAAAAAACCACAATATAGTCTCTTTTTTCAGTGTCATGATTTTGAGGCCAGTCTCATTATTTTTCATAATCTCTTGAGGTTACCAATGCTGTCATAAGTACCAGGAAACTGGAACAACCAACAACAAGGATGTCCTTTTCTCAATATGCTATATTTCAGATATTTGAAAGCTTTATACAAGATCAAAAGTAATAAGACTTTTTTCTCTCCCTTCACCCCATCTTAAGCATGCCGCTATGTTTCCTAGAATTCACTTTGGAAACATATGGTAAGACTTTTTCTTGAGGTGCAGCTGAGTATAATCTGAACAGATTCCTGTGGGGGAGGAGGTGCAGGGATCGCTACCCAGGGGAACACAGAAGGGGCATCAGGATGTAACCCGTTTAGCAATTAAGATTTTGGTGCAGGCACAGGGGAGCAGTGCACTTCCCGATTGCTACCACGAGTTACCTTTCTTATCCAGAAGATTCTGTAATCAGTTTCTGATTCATACTAAGGTTATGAATGGAATCCATCCAATGAACTTAATCAAAACTGCAGGTGCTTAAAATATTGTTAAGGTAGGAAATGCTAACACAGCTTTAACTGTCTCCACTATATATTTAATTTTTCCCTGAACCAAACTAAATCTTTCAGTAGAGCTATTTCAAGATTAGAGCAGTCCAGGAAAATTTAAGACTTCACTTTGGATCATAAAAACAAGAACAAAATGAATTACCTATAAAAGAGAACTATGTTAGTGACAAAACCTGAAGGATTGAGATTCAAAGCAAGTTCAGATTTAATTTCAGGGGACTGGAGAAGGAAAGCAGCAAAGCCTAAATGTTACCTGGCAGATGATTCTGTTTATTTTCCATTTTTAAAAATGCACCTAAAGTTTCATTTGGGCACCTTCCAAGAATGCCACAAAGTCCATATTTTTTCATGAGCATTTGTGAGAAGGAGAGAGGATTGATTCAGTGAGGAGACTGTTGGCTAGCTGATGGGTTATGATGTTTTATAGATTAATGTTATTAAGGAGAGCGCTGTTATTATTGACATGGGCAGTCCAGTAAGTGTATTACAGCTTTTACAGTTTTGGATTAACTGTTAATCTTGATAAATGTATAATAACAAAGAAGGATGCTAAACTAAATCAAAGAGATAGTAAAAACAAACATTTAAGAAAAGATATCAAACTAAATTCTTCCAGCTACAATGATTGATAGTTACCAAGTTCTTCCTCACCCAGAATGCAGGCTCTTGGATCCATTTTAAACCCTACCCTCTCCGTCAAGGCCGAGAAAACAGAAAGACTTCTCAAAATGCCCTGACGTCCAACAGGCTCGAGTCCTGTTCGACTAAGAGAAGAATTTGGTTCCCTATGGAGAGGGATCCCCAGTACTGACAATGCACTTTCCCCAGCCCACTCCCATTCAAACTGGAGAACTGCCAGCTCAAGCACTTCAGCTGGCCTCCATCGTCATGGGGCATACCAGGAGAGACACAGGTTCCAAACTCTTTGTATTGCAGGCCTAAACCAGTGACTTGCACTGCAAAAACTATTTTTAGAGACAAAGACAAAGCTCTGCTGAATCTTCAATAGAAGCGTACAACAGTTTGCTTGTATCTTGATGCAGAACAGTTCTCAAGAACTGAAACTTTTTTCTTTGAATAACATCTCTGTGGCTGCACCATTTCAGGCACACCTGAGCTAAGCACCTTTGATTAGAGAGTTTTAATAGCAGTGCACTTTCAGCCACCGTGTGCATCCCACACATCCTTATACCCTGCACCAAAAGTGTACAGGGTTGTGTGTGCAAACCACCTTCAGTACTTTCTCAACTGCCTTTGGCAGGAGATAAGAGTGTACCATGCTGTTTTGTTATAATATTCTAAAAATAGTTGGCAGATAATTAGTTACCTTATAGAGGGTATAGTTGCTAGAAAGGTGTTCTTTTTTCCTTTTCTAAAAATAAAATAAATAAATGGAAAAAATATTAGATATAATTAGATGGTTATTAGAATGTCCCCCACTTTTGGGGGTAATTTTTTGTGATATCTCTCACGAATGGGATTCAAAAGGTGCCTCTCCTGTTATGAGGCAATTCCTATCAATGGCAGAGATTCCAGAATGCCTTCACTGTTTAGGAGACTCTCCTGTCCCCAGTAAGTGAAAGTTATGCATTTCCTTCAAGGGTCATTCAGTCATTCATATTTTGTTGACTCAGTCTCTTGTTCCCAGTGTATTGGATCATCTGTTAAAATCAAGAACATTGGGTCTTGCTGTTAATGCAGGGGTGGCAATAATTTTTGATAGGGGGCCACTCCAAGATTTTGGAAAGTGGTTGGGGACCACACTTTTCCATGATATTAATGGAGATGAGGGGTCTGGAATGGAGGTTGGGTGCAGAAGGGAGCTTGAGGTAAGGGATTGGAATGCAGGAGAGAGACTGGAGGGAGACTGGAGTCTGGGAGGGAGCTGGGATGAAGCAGACAGTTGTGGCCTAGGGCAGGGGACTAGATTGCAGGGGTTTGGGATGTGACCTAGGGTAGGAGGGGATTGTGATCTGGGATAGGAGATTGGGGTGCCAGATCTAGGAGGGGGTATGAGTGTAAGAGAGGGACAAAGGGTTTGGGTATGTTGAGTGGGCGGGTGAACGAGCAGAGAGTTGGGGCAGGAAAGGGCTGGAGTGCCAGAAGCAGGCTGTGGCCAAGAGACTTACTTGCCACCTGCTAAACTAGCCTGCCTACCTACAGAGCTCAAAATGTTTCCCAGCCCGCCTGGCCATGTGCTTCATGAATTACTGAGCTGAGGAGAGGGGACGTGGTTCTTCTTGGCTCCCTGTTACTCCAACAGGCAGCTCACATTGGCTGGTTTCTGCCAGAAACTGACCAATGGGAATGTGCTGGGGGTGGGACGGCTCCTAAAACTTCCCCCCTCCCCTCCAGCTTTAAAACAGAAATGGAGTCCAGCAGTTGCGTTTCTGCATGGCGCGTGGGTCTGTGGGGCAAGCTGGGGAGCCTATCTAGGGCCAGAACTGGTGGCTTGGCGGGCCGGATCCAGCCCATGGGCCATGTTTTGCCCAGGCCTGTGTTAAAGCCATAAGGTACACTTAACAGCAATAACAGCTTTTCACATGCCCACTAGGGATGTTTCACTCTTTGCTCACCCTGTCACAATACAATTCCTAGGAGGTTTGTCAAAAATATCAGAGATCTTCCTCCTCATTGGGACTTCCATCTAGACTTTAATTGCCTTATGAAAAATCCACTTTCTATATGTTGTTTATTAGATTTATCTGTGAAGACACTTCTTGGTAGTCATCACTTCTGCCCAAAGGGTTGGAGAATTGGGGCTTCCATGGCAGACCCTTCCCTCCCGTTTACAATATTCACTAGAGAGAAGGTATTTCTGTGGGCCCATCCAAGACTCCTAAGATGTCCTCATAAATTCATATTAATCAAACCATTATCTTATTCTATATTTTCCCAAAACCCACACTGAATAATTCATGAACTCATATTCTATACCTTCAATGTAAGGATGGTGTTTGCCTTTTATCTAGAGAGGACCAAAGCATTTAGAAGATCACCTGCTTTATTTGTCCCCGTTGCAGAAACAAGGGTTCATCAATTTCAGAACAGAGAGGCTATGTCTACACTGCAAAGTTTTTGCACAAAAATAGCCATTTTTGCGCAAAAACTTGTGGAGTGTCTACACCTCACATGAGCATTTGTGCAAGTAAATCAGCAGTAAAATGGCAGAAGAGAGGGCTTTTGCCGGTGTAGGTAAACCTCCTTTTATGAGGCATAACTCCCTTTTGAGCTACAGCTATTGCACAAAAAGGCAAGTGTGGACACTCCAGAGAAAAAGGGAAAAAGCACAGGTGCTCTGATGGCCATTCTGTGAATGACCATCAGAGCTTTCTTGCACAAAAGCATCCATGCAGTGTGGATGCTCTCTTGCTCAAAAGCTCATCACTTTTGCGATGCGCTTTGAGGTGTGGATGTGCTCTTGCGCAAGAAGTTTTTGTGCAAAAACTCTTGCACAAAAGGCTTCTTGAGCAAGAAGCCTGCAGTGTAGACGTAGCTAGAGTGTCAAAGTGGATCTCCAGGTGCATTATGATCTGTTATAACCAAACTTATATTCAACTCCCTTAAAGGGTGATGGTACATTCTACAAGTGCATCACCTACTATTGTAGCCTTACTAATGGCAATGGTAGATTAACCACTGGGCCAATGAGATCCATACCCAGGGTCCCAGCCAATTAGGGTGCCCCTGCACCCAACTCAACTCACTCCACTGACTCAGCACTCCTGCTGTGGAGTGGAGTTGGGGTACCAGGGATGCCCCACTCTGCCTACCTGGTGCTCCTGCTAGGGAGTGGATTCAGGGTGAGGAGCTTGCTTTACTCTGCATGGCTAGTGAGCCTGCTGGGGAGCAGGAGAGCACCTACACTCCAACTCTGCTCTCCAGCAAGATCACCAGGGGAGAGACTGGGGGGGACTGCAGCTGGAAGGAGTGGGTGGGAGCCCCCACTTGCTTTGGCCCAGGGCCCCACAGACCGCTAATCTGCCTCTGACTAAAGCTATACCAATTGCAGAGATGTATAGAGTGGCAACTTGGTCCTGTGTTCACATTTTTTCTAAGCATTATGTGTTGGTTCCTGTGGCTGGACCAGATGCTGCTGCAGGCAGTGGAATTTTCTCTTCTATATTGATTCTGTTCTGAACCTCCCACCTCCTTAGGGAGGGTATGCTCAGGAGTCACTAGACCTGGAACAGCCAGAGAGACACTACTCAAAGAAAAAGAGATTATTTACCCTGTGCAGTAACTGGAGTTCTCAGAGGGGTGTCCCTGGGAGTGCTCTGCTATCCACCCTCCTTCCCGACTGTTTGGAGACTTCCTTGTGAGACTTTGTGGTCTCACATAGCCCCACATAGCCTCAATGTGGGCATGAGGATGTGTGGGGTACAGGTGTGTGCCGAATGGGCACTGCTGTAAAAACTCTCCAATGAAAGGTGCAGGCGCACCTACAGGAGAATATGCACAGGGACACATCTCAAGGCACTCCAGTTACTGCACAAGATGAATAATCTCTCCTTTCCTTCAGAGTCCCCACTAGAGGCTTCACAATTGCTATTAATTTTAAGTGGAATGTGCTCAAATACTACCATGAGGATTAGTAGCATAAATCCCCATGACTGATAGGTAGAATATATATATATAATCAGTCACATATAGTTATGGGAGAAAAAACCCTCAAATATATAAACTTTTGAGTATAAACTGATGCAGCATTGCCTTCATGAGTCTACAGGCAGCCTGAAACAATTACTTTGAAAGAGGCAAACTGTACTCTTAACTAATTCACTTCTGATCACGTTAACAGAAACTACCAGCCACAATCCCACAATCCTAAACTGTCTCTCCAGGTGCCAAAAAGCACCAACTGCTCCCTGATTGGCTGATGTCCCCTGCAGACTTTCTTTGATAGGATTATGCAGCATCAGAAGCAAAAATCTGCAGCACTTTGAAATATAAGAACCGGCTAAAATTAAATACATTTGATATGAAAACAAGTGATGGGTTACTGCATTTATTTGATTTTGTATTTCATTTTTAATTTAAATGAGGCTGCTATATGAGACTATTGGAGAATCAAATAAAACCAACTACATTTTTGCATGTGCTGTTTTTCATGGACAAGTTTTCAGCCAAGAAAAATACTGTCTTGGGTAGGTATATGACAATACAGTTTGTGCTCTCAAGTTCAAATCTGTGCTTATGCAAAAACTTGGCTGCAGAAAACTGTGAAATTGCATAGTTTCACACTGAGCTTTTTCAATTTAAAAATCCATTAAGTTTTCATGAAGTAGTTTCTGAAGCTGATACTTTTACAGCATATGCAGGTGTTGTACTAAAATCACTGCTTTTCACTGTTATTTTAACCAAATATATCCATCTGCTATATAATTCAGAAAGAACAAGTAAGACCCCTTTCTCTCTCCTCACAACTGCTACCACACTCTTTACAGTCACTCTAAAATGGTGAAATGGCAGCCAGAACAATAACAGTTACTTTGAGCAAGGTCTTTTACCAAGCAGAATAATGTTCACAGCAAGAAAATAAAAGCAGGGAAAAAATGAACCCCCCAAAATCCTCAGTTCCCAGTTTGGAATTCAACCAAGACTTACATCCCTACATGTGGAGTCAAAGCTTCCTAAGCCATTTATGCACTCTAGCACCTAAGCAGCTAATTTATAGCTCTCCTTTAGAGTGCCTGTTAAACCAGAGTGGGAAGCTGAGATGCCTTATTCATCAGGGAGCCAAGAACAATTCTACATCCTATCAATCACATTATTAGTTAATTTACTTCATAAGATCAACACATGTGGGTTGATGAGTGTCTGAAAAAGTGGGTTTTGCCCACAAAAGCTCATGATACTATATATATTTTTGTTAGTCTCTAAAGCACCACAGGACTACTTGTTTTTAAAGTTACAGACTAATACATCTACCTCTCGTAGGCTAGGTCTACACTGCAATGTTAAATCGGAAAAAGAAATGTAATTTGCAGTACGCAAATTTGCATATCTTTTTCTGATTTACTTTCGAAAGAGGCTCTTTCGAAATTTGGCACGTCTACAAGGCATCAAACTTTGGAAAAAAGTGCTCTTTCGACACATCCTTTATTCATCGTAGAACGAATTTTACAGAGATGGCGAAAGAGAGCATCCACTTTCTTGATTTTTTTTTTTTTTCAGAAAAGCAGACGCATTCCTTGGACACGGCTTTGCTTTTCCGGGATACCTACGATATCTCAGAAAAGCAGTGAAGTCTAGACGTAGCTGACTGTTAAGATGGCAGAGTGAGCTAATACCAAGTTCAAAGTTGAATCAAGGGCATTTTTGAGCATTTTCTCATTAACAAGGAGAAATTACCATATTTTCA